ATTTTGACTTATTATGCCCATCTTTTTTTTTAAAAAGAGGAAAATATTTCAATATTATTTTAAAAACAATTTTGTACAATTGTAGATTTTAAACTAGGTGGAAGTAGAGTTTCTTTTCAATGAAACTACTTAAAAATGTTTTATGACAAGGAATAATAACAATATTTTTAGAACATTCTACTTAAACAACTTTTTGCTTGGTTTCTGATGTTACAGAAAACTATCATTATATTAATTGATATAGTAGTCAATAATTATGTAAATATATAGAAAAATAGCATAGATAATACATGTAACTCTAATCTGATTTTCAATTATTTCTTTAGACTTGATTTTTTACAATAAATGTCAAAACCATTGAACAGAAAACTGTGTTTTTGACTCACAATAGCTAATTGTTTCTTTTTTATATTTTACTATATTCAAAGATTAAAAGATAAATGGCTTTGATAATTTTAATATTTGCGCGTAAAGCTGAGAATTCAAAATAAAAATTGTAGACTTAGTATTCATTTAGTATTGTTTGTTTGAATCTTCCAACTGATGTTTGGGACTGCAATATAGAGGCAATCCTCACAGGATACATATTCGCCAATAAGAGACTGATCAATTGCAGCCCTAAACATCAATGGAAGCTTAAAACAAGCGATACCAAATGAATTTAAACTTTACTACATTGCACAAGCTAGTGGCTATCACGAATCAGTAGTTAAGTGGATAACATGGCGGTGTTTGAATCGAACGGTACCGGGTTCGAGTCCCGGAGTGAACATCAACTCTGGGATGCAGGTGCGTGGGGCTGAAGAGTCCTAAATAGGACTGAACGCGCGTCTCCGGATCCCATTGCTGGTTATCAACCATCTATGCTTATAATGTTAGTTTTCATCTGTTATCGGATTTGATGTATTATTTCAACTTTTAAATACGTAAATAAGTGAATAAACTCTTTTCTAATGTGAGAATTTCTGACAATTTCGCATACTGTGTAAATATCTGAATGAAGAGTAAGAGGTTTAACCGATAATAATTTTTTAAATAGTTACTCATTGTTCCCTTGCTTTTTTGATGAATTACCATATTATACAATTCTCTGGTGAAAATTTCCTTGCCCTCAAGTTCATGTTCTTCAAAATTAGTATATTTTTTATCTTAACAGTTGAATTCGTGAGGCGACCTAAGCTAGACTACTATTGAAAACCTGGAAACACTGAACGGCCATTTCGTCCTAGCACGGGATTCATGAGCAGGACTTTCGGTCTCACGCGTGAACGTTTAACCTCTAAACCACTGAGCCGGCATCCAACGGTGTTAATGTCTAACTTCAACCGATTCATGATCTTGCACAACCTTTCAGGCATCGTCTGAGGTGGATAGCTGTCTCACATTCGACACGGATTGGACTCCACCAGTCACGGCTTCTCACTAGAACTCCAGGAAATATCTCTTGAAGCTAGTCACTAGTGAGCACATGATTATCATCAGTAAGGGGATTTGAGGAGATTGCAGTAATTTCCACAGTTGAATCCATGAGTCTATCTAAGCTATTTGTTTATCATTTAGACATACTGTCGTTAAATTTCGTATGTATATAATATCGTTTATAGTAAAATAAAAATCTTGACTGAGACGATACATTGATAAAACCTATTTTATGATGATAATACAGTACACATATTATAAACAAAACCTTAGTTATTGTTTATATGTTATTTACATATAATCAATGTGTTTCATGATTTCTTTATCACTATGCTTAGGACATCAGAAGTTTAATTTGTAAATTTAAATATTTCATTACTATTTTATTCAAACACTTTGTACCACAGATAACTTTGGTTTATATATTGAAAAGTATAATGTAAATTAAATGTGTATTTTAGAGCATATCGTTATGATATTTTAAATCTTTATTAGTATGTTATATTATGATAATAATAATCAATACTAACAGTGATAATAATAACCACACTAATATTATACCCTGAACCAACGTAGTCTGATGAGCAATTAAACACTAGGGAGTCTTTGGCATTTGTGTATAACGTTAGCTATGAAATCCAAGTACCACTATGAGAATTTTGATATATCTAATCACAAGATTTCAACTTTATAGATCCAGTTCATGCAATGGGTTTTCTTCACAAAATTTTTCGCCAACCTTTTTAAATAAGTTTATAATAAAATTGGTGTTGAAGAATTAGACAAACTATTCAGGTACTTACTTCTGTTTATTTAATGATTTCCTCATTGATTAGTGTTATTTTGAATAGGTACATTGAAAAGTGGATTATTTGCCTTCATAACAAATTTTATTGCCTATAGAAAAGAATGAGATTATCATATTACGTATCAATTATCTTATATTCATTATGATTATAACTAGTATTGTTACTAATTGGTGTTTCTACTATTATAAGAATATTGATCTTTTGTATATAGTTAAAAATTCAGTCAGTTTTTGAGATAGTAAGTATTTTTGCATTTGGAATTGCAAAGTATAAGGTATTATCATGTCTAAAAACGAGGTGTTACATTATTCACCTTCAAAATTTCCCTTTTAAGATCCTATCGCATGAATGACGCCACGTGTGTGCACTTCATAAACAAGATGTTTTCTTAAAATTGTCACCAAAAAGTTTGAAAAGTTTGAAAATAAAATTTTACCGATAATATCGGTTCCTTAATCTTGTGTTTAATTTTAATTTCCACTTATTTGCAAACATTAGCTGGTTTTAAGTATGAACATATCATTTCCACGGTTATTTAATTGGTCCTCTGAGTCTTCCTCATTGTCCGAACATTCCATATACTCATAATAATTGTTGCTCTGGTTGCTAGAAGTGGCAATGGTTTCGTGACTTCCTAAGAATATCGGCTTTCACCGTAAGGCATCATAATTATTTTGAATAAAGATCCTTGAACTTCCAGGGAGGGGTTTAAGTGGTTTAAATTCTTTGTTGTGGTTAGCGTATCTTTAGTGTTGTTGTATTCTACGTGATGGGGTTGCTGACCACATCTCCAACTCAACTCCTTTACCCGGTCTTGGGACCGACGGTAACTTTAGAAGAGCTACAGCAACATGTTGCTCAAGGATATTTCGGCAGATGTTTAATATAATAAATATATTTCGTTTATGTAGTTATATTCTTCTTGCATCCTGTTCTGAAGTATGAACGTATTTATTCACTATTCGTTTACCAGTTTGATTAGTTATTTCTTCTTAGTGTTATTGTGACAAATACGTTTTTGTGATTCGTTTGTATCAGTACCTAAAAATGACATCCATATTTATTTAGACGAGTAATCTATCTGATATACTGAGGTTCTCTTTGGGATTGTATTTTTTATCCAAATAATTAGAGTCCCATTAAAACAAGCCGTCGCATATTTTATCGAGTAATCTTTTTTTATAAGCTTCGGTCTAGTCAGAGTCAATTACCACCCCATTTGCCAAGTTTGTATATGACAGAAAACTGTAAGATATGAGGAAAATACTCATTATTTAGTTTAGGTGTCTATACAAATCTCCAGTAACAAAAGTGCAGTTTTATCTTTAATTTTAAACATGTTTCACATAACAATTAGTGCAGATGGTTCTAAGCAATATAGTTATTCTATATTGTTGTTCATTGATTTTCGATTGTTCATTATGCACGGTATCCATCATCTTCGGGTATTTTACCTTTCATTTAGTAGGTGAATACTGCATATAAGAGTAACTTTTTTGAAGATTTCATTTTCATCATATTAAGTTAACGAAATCTTTCTGATGTGAACATATAAGTATGGTGTATCCCAACATGCCGCCTTATACAAGATATAAATATTGAAAATGTTATGGCTTAAAATGAAATCTTTGGTAAAACGTATGCTCCCATGTCCAGCACTCAACCAATAAATAGACAAAAATGTCCAAAAGTGCATTATGCTGCACTTATTTAGCTTTGAAAAACGGATGGATAATCTCATACGGCAAAGATGATTCAGTGACTTTTTGTAATGAAAAACTCGAATAAATGCTTAACCAATACGACGAAAAGATGAAATTTGGAAATATGTGATACGATGTAATACATTTCAAACAAAAGTGTTTAGCCATTTGTGTCAAACATAAAAAGGTCAAACTAAAAATATTGAAACGTAGCAACAACACTGATAATAACATAAACCCTTATATGGCTTCACTTCAGTCTACTGCAAAGACAAAGCCTTTACAGGAGGGATGTGATAGTCTGGGCGATTGTAGACAGATCACATTCTGTCTCAAGGCCACATAATGGGTGAGAGATTCAAAAATGAACATGTCAGTGTGAGAGAATTGTTCATTCTACCTTGATCACAGCTTACATATCTCTGTCTGGGTCAGGGAAGATACGTGTCTGTAACGCATGAGTTATGAACACTGATTCAATTTTGGGTGTAAAGCTTTCTGTACATTCTTAGTCTTGTATTATCACATAGCTAGTTGTGTCAAGCGTTTGAAAAAGTTTAATGTGACTGAATTGAACCGACTGATCATAAACGTATGGAGATAGCTATGAGAAAAATTAGTGTTATAATCTCCCGGTCAAATTCAATTACAATACACACTTCCTAGCGTTCGACTCAAAAAGCTATGAGATTAGACGATTAAGAATCTGCAGGAATCTTTCATGCTAAAACAAACTCAGAGTGTTTATAGCTCATGGGTATATATAAGCAACTTTGCTATTAAATATATGAACCAAATTAGGAAATTCGTTGATGAAGTAGTCCTGATAATAATTACAATATTATTATCAAGCTTATTTTATGTGTAAATCATTCGCTAATATTTGTGACGTTCTTTTAAATTAACTATACTGTTAAAGACGATATTTATGTTACATTTGTTTTATTAAGTAATCAGACATATGATGATTATTGTTTATTACGTTATCTAGTATTTACACTATCATTGTAATTCTTATCACCATCATTACTATATTTCTTACTACACGAATAATAATTGATTTTTTTAGAACTCGTGAAGGTATATCTACCAAACAGTGAGTTTATCATTTAATGAATGTGTATATATATTCTGATACTCAATTCGAATTTATAAATGGTTTCATTGTAGAGTAGTAATTATTATTACTATGATATTCACTGTTAATAACTATTTGAAGATAATATTTAATGAGTAAATAGATGGAAATTTAGAAAAAAAAAACATTATTTCAAAATATTATTATTGAAAATCCATGTACATCTATTGATAGTGCGATGCCATTTCATTTCTTTTTAAATATGTAGATTCATGGATCTTATTTATAGGTATTATTTTCATACCTGATATTATTTGTCAGTTAGTAGATTGAATCCCCCAAAAATATACTCTAAGGCAGATGATATTCACACATTATTTTCACCTTATCTTAACTATGCCATATTGTAACAATTCATAATAACTTCAGTTGTTCATTAATTTTTTGAAACGATTGTTCCTAATTTTCTATCTGATCTTTAACTGAGGTTGATTATACAGTAATGTTGACAGATTTTAAAAGTGATTATTACTTTGGGAGTTTAATATACTTTCATAGTTTATAAATGAATATATTGCTCTTTGAAGAAAGCTTTTGGTTAAAAAATATTTAGAAAAACATGGATCAATCTCGTAATGAATCATTCATCAAATTTTATGTCATTAAAACAAGATGAAATTGTATCGTAATGTTCTTCCAGTTTGTTTTTTTAAATTGTACTTTATTAGTTCGAAATAATCATTAAAAGTAGACGAAATAGAAATGACTGTTGTGTAGGGATAGTTTAAAACACATAACTATTGTTCCTACTTTGATTGCACCTATGTACAATCAATCGATTCACTTAATAGTGTTTAGACAAAACAAACTTTTCCTTCACATATATATAGTACGAATGTCTTGTCATATGTAACAGTATTCACATAAGAATCTTTCTCTCCCCTTGATCCCTACCTCACCACCTCTTAGTAAAGATAAACCATTAAGTGATTTATGAAATAATAGTGAAGATTGGATAGGCAGATAAAAGATGTTGAGAAAATTCTAACCACAAAGCTTACTTATTATGAAACTGTATTTGTTATACTATAGTTTAAGTTATATTCACTAAACAGTGAAAACAAAATCTGACCGAACAAAGCTGAGAGACAAAGGTTTTATTGATTGTCATCAATTTTAATTTATGCATTTCGAAATATGTCCTGCTATAGAAGGGATTAGATTGCTTCATAAATAAATTCATTGAAGTTTTTTTTGCTTCCCTCCTCTTTCTGCTTGCCTCTACGTTTATACAAACCATTCACGATGTATTGCATGTATGCATTCATGTCAGTTTACCTATGTATTTTTTAGTGTTATAAAACAATACTATTGTATATATTTAAATATTCACTCTGTAATTATTAAGTTTATTTTCTATATGAATAGATTTTTGCATAAATATCAAATAAGTACCTTGGTTTAGTATCTTAAATTAGCTTCTTCAAACAACAGCTTCGTTTACTATCATATAGTTAATTAATATTACATTGATCTGATAGCTCTTTTTCAAAAATAAATTTTAACAGATGGTTTGAGAGAACAACAAAACTCACACGACTATAAGCCAATTTTTTCAAATGGATACAACTATAAAGTGACTATTCACAGTGAAACGACCAAATAGCATACTGATATGTAGTCGATATTTATTAATTGAGTCAAAACACTTTAAGTCTATGTTGTACCAAGTGAAAATAACCGATAAATGGTTTCATGAAAATCGAAAAGTATAGTAACTAATAACTATAATGAGCTACGCGCATTTGTTGAAATTTGATATTGGACAAAAGACCTAATTTGACACACCTTTATAGTGTCGAAGGTAATTTCGGATAAATGTTCCCAAATTTATTCTCCGTGTGTGGTGAAGTACTAGTGACACATAGAATACAATTTTGTACAAAATATTAAGTGGTTTCATTTTTTAATGGCTAGTTGTTAGAAGATTAAATATGAACAACAGACTAATCTAAAATACAGTGTATTTTTGGTGAGAGTCTATTTTTGCCTGAATTGTTCCAGTAAATATAAGCGAAACGTCTTACAATCAATGAGGAATGTTTAAAGATCAGAAAGAATTTCGATGAATTTTATTTCCAAAACTGCTTTTTAAGATATTTACACGTTTACCAGTAGATCAGGGTAATTAGTAAAATCTGACTTTAATATCGAAAGTCTGGTTGATAAACCGTGACCTGCTGCTACCAAGAATGGCCAAACCGTTTAAATCCTGATTTGTATTTAGTGCTACATTTTTCGAATCAACATGTTTGGTCTTTATTCATTTCATCGTTACTTTCAGTAGTACCTTTCTGAATAATAATCATGATTCTATACGCCATTAATTTACCTAAGTTATTGAATGGTGATTTCAGTCTAGATTAGTGAGTTCAATTATTTCAGTGGTTGATATAAACTTCCTATTCTAAACAAACAGAACAATTGTTTTATTCCTAAAACTTAGGGTTTACATCATGGATTGATTTTCGTTTGGCACCTATCGAAAAGTAGGAAGCGCTGGAGGTCCGCCTAGTTCTAGTATGGACCCTCTACTTCATCTCGACACTTGGAAATGTCAAGCAACATATTATAATAGTTAAATTATAAACATAAGATATAACGTTATTTCATCTTTTTATTGTTGTTTAATTCTATTTTGTTCATCGATTAATTTCGTTCTATTTAGATTTATTTTATAAAAAGATTTGACTAATGATTCACATTTGTTCCTTAATTTCTGTTTTATCGAGCCTATTCTCTATTGATTTGTTACTTCTTTACCGTTACTATTATTATTATTATTATTATTATGTGTCCTAATTCCTATTTGCCTGTAAGTTTCTACCAACTTTTTTTTTCATCATATCCTACAAGATGACATTTTTTTGTCTTTTCAAATTTAACTCAAGGCTAAATTATAAAGGAACCTTTTCGTTTGTTATTTCGATAATCTAATCGACAAATGAATCACATTGTGAAATTTCAAATTTTTATATCGGTAATTATTTATTTATTGAACTGAAATTTTTTTTAAATAAGTAGAAATTTGTAGATCGATTTCATCATGAACTAATATCAACTGGAAATCAAAAAAATGAACACCTAAATTTTGAATCTACATCGATTCGCGAATCTCTTAGATTTCACGGTGACCACGATCCTTTTAAACTACTAAGTAAGAACCTGCTGATTAAGATCTCTAGTCAATTTTTGATAACTCGTGACGATTAATTACGTCATCCATCAATAACTTTCGGATTCATAAATTTCTTGAATTGTTACAGTGTTGAGTAGATCTAAATTAACATTTTACAGTTGCTCAGTTATCTTTTAATGGATCTACACTTAATCTTAATTAGGGATTGAAGTGATTTTAGAATATTCTAGACAAGTAAAACGATTACAAAACATTTTAATGATATTTTAGATTATAACAATACTCCGAAACACCTAGACTTTGATGCAGTGACCCAGAGCAGTTAAGTTTATTGATCTTTAACTAAATAAATCAACAATACTTATTTTTCATCTTATTGACAGTCTTAAAGAAGTCTATCAAAATTTATGACGATTTGATTAAGATGTAATCAGTGGTATCGGATTTATTTACCTTTCTTAAATCTCAATCAGTTATTATTATTTTATAACACTCCTATGGATGAAATTCATATTGCTGTTATTAGAGAGAATTCAGTTAATCTTAAATGAGTTGCCACTAAAATAGCCTATTTGTTCTATAGATAAATCATAAACCTATGGTAAAAATCAGTGCTTACATCATGGATTGATTATTTCATTAAGTATAGGCCTAATTTATCCAATCGTTGTGAAATTGATTATGTACATGAAATTTTTCAAATATATCGATATCGTCTGATTTTTCATACGTCACCTTAAATTGTCCTAAGACTTTGTAAACTCTTGTTGAAATTGTATATATGTGGAATCTTGATTTTTGTCATAGTTCAGAACTTATTCCTTATTTATTAACATAAGTTCTTTTATAATGAATCCATATATTTTACGTCAGTTTATTGTTATATTGAACAATAAATTAATTTTACATCGTTTTTATCGAAAATAATTTTCTGTCTTCGCTTTTTGTAAATGCTTTTTCGTGATATGTGGTGTTGTACATTTTTTCTTGGTAAATTTTCAATTGATCTAAACTCGTTTGCATAGTTTTTTTTTTAATACTGTTTCTAGGTCGAATTCGCTAAAGTGTGAAGGAATAATGTAGTCTCATATCTTACAGGTGTATCCAATACATGATATTGTCTTAGAACCAAGAATCAGTCACGATAGAATGGTCACATTTTTTGATTTCGCATCGCGTCACTACTTTTCATATACAGTAAAAGGTGGTCTGAGTCAAATATAATTCGTTTATCTTTGGGAGTACAAGCAAGACTCCTTGCGTATTTATTATTTAAAACTACGAACCAAACACATAAAGAGTATAAGCTTAGAAAATGAACTGCTGAATTTTGTTTGGGTAGCAAATTTTTTTAAAAAGAACACTGTGATCGGAAACCATGAATATAAAAATTATCAAGATCTCAGCATTGTCTTATTATTGACTTCGATGCTTTTAAGCTATGACTAAACTACTGATATAATCGTGAACAAAAATACAATTAAAAACAATTTAAATGACGCACATGATAGCTAAAAATATCTTTTTACTTTAGTTGAACGCACGAAATACAAGTATAGAAGAACTTGAATCTGCTTTTTAGCTAATTTGTTTTTCTCGTACGCACATCATTTTTCATACAACAGATTGTATCTATAAAAGGTTAACTTAGAAAATAATAACTTGTAATAATACTAATCAGTTTAAATCTTCCTTACATTAATATGTTGAGGGTTATTTTATTACCTAAAGTTAAATAAATGATATACAACAGTAATAACTAACAAACTGTAGCGTACAAATTAATGTTAAAATTGTAACAGAGTTAGAAATCTAGTCTTAAATGTCAATCACGGTCTTCTTATGTTGGGATGTAATATGGTCCATAAGTTAATTGATTTGACATTCTTGTAGAACTGAATACCTGAAGTCTACTAACTGAATACTTAAAAAACTAGATTCGTTTTTCCTTAAGTTGGTCGGTAAATGTTTATCTGGAATCATACACAAACTCATCATTTCTCAGAATCCCCACTTATGTCATCAAGCCTTCAAATTACAATAGGGATATTTTATTCTTTTCACTTAATATTATTTACTATTAATGGTGAGGATTTGTTATTCATCTTAATTTTAAAAAAGTTATTTCTTATACTTGTTTCCATAGCTATTCGATTAGTATTTTAAACATATTATTGATGTTCTATTATGTAGATAAAGGTTCATAAACTGGTCACCAATTTACATTGTTGACATACAAGAATATTTTACTCCTTATGATCTAATTATTTCTTCTTCATATCTCCTATTCTTATTGCTGTTGCTTATCCTAGAAAGCATGACAAACCAGCATTTGATAGACCTGAAAATAAATGTCAAGATGATTCATTCTTTGTTTATTATTCTTTCCGTCATTATTACTATTATTTCTCTTATTGTATTAAATAACTATCTAGAAATGTTTCAAATGTCGTGTTATATTCACTTTTCATCTATCCACCCTTTAGAAAAAAAAAATAATCTTTTATTATGTTTACGTATTACTATTTTATGTTTCTTACTTAAGCTGTTTTGAACGGAATTATATACTGACCAATAATAAATCACCACTGAAAACCTACGAGTATTGAACGGCCGTTTCGTTCTAGAATGAGACTCCTCAGCAATGCGAATGAATCCCGCACGCGGAACTCAAATGCAGGACCCTCGATCTCGCACAAACCCTTAAACTCTAGACCATTGAGTTGGGATCCAACTGTGGTAATATCTAACCTCAACCAATCCACGATATTACGCAAACACATCCCATTGATGAAACGGCCGTCCGGTGCTTCCAGCTTTTCAGTGGTGGTCTAACAATGATCGTTTCATGACCTCAATTAAAACTTAACAATCTCCACAATCCTATACTGAAAACTATACAAACTTACAGTGAATTCTCATTATTACGTGTTGTCTAAACTATTACGGTATAATTGTTATGAAAGTTTTGACAGTTTCGGTTGTGTTATACATATACTGAAGGTTGCTATTATATACATGTATACTTTTCAATAAATGAATAGAAGATTGTTACGCAACAATAATAATAACCTTAAGTAAGCTTTTGTAACAGATGGGAATTACTAGAAAAACTATCTAAAACCAAATATTCTTCATATATTTACTTATAATTGGCGTTGAGATCAAATTCTTAAATTCTGGTGATAAGTTTTGCTTACTGAAGTTCAACCATGTCTAGCAGAAAGTGGTTATCCATAAGTGGTGTCAGATGACTTACTTGATCAAACCTGGAATCTTCTTACTCAGCGAATCAAATAAATAGTTTTCGCGAAATATTAAGATTCTGTGTTCAATTTTGTGCACAGTTTTGTGTCCTCAATAATAATGAGTCCTAAGAGCAAACCAAAACAATTACCTAATCCTTATTTCCTTTATGTTGTCCTCCAGCTTAGGTCATATGTGATGAAAATCTTCAAGAATTAGTCAACCATTTAAATTCTAAGAATCTGTAAAATATTTCACACTCATCAAATTACTATTTGTATAGCTTCTTATTATTGCTATCATCAACATTATTTAAATTGTCTACTATGGTTACATGTTTTATTCAAAATTGTATTGTGTCTTTACAACGTTTGTATGTCTGAGACATATTTAATGACGTAAAACAATAATACACATCAAGTAGTTAAGCATAAACAATACTATCGATTAGAATTTCAACTGATTTATCAACTATAATTTATTATTGACATTTTAATAAATAAACTTTAGATGATCTATGATATTTTTTGAATTGTCTAGTCTTGAAACTTCAATATTGATAAGTTAGAGATCAACTATTCATGTCAATAAAAGTCAATGTTAGAATCGTAATCAAATAATTTCTCTAACAAATCGAAATACTGTTCATACCACCACCAATTAAGGATATTTGCTACATCTGCAAATGAATGATAGAATTTCATAGAGGGAAATAGTTGAAAAAGATTTTGGTCAAGATAAAAAAGAGCTATAAACCTATTTTTTTATATATCATGGAGACAGAAACTATTGGTTCGAAATTTTACGGTAATTCCCGCGCTCAATCTACGTTCGAAAATTGATTTTATTTATTTTTTTTAATAGTTTACTTATCTTTCAAAATACTATTCACCTTAGTAATTGTTTGTCAACGTGTTCCGCTCAGTATAATTTCTGAATATGTTTCTGTATTAATGATGAAATGATAAGCTGGAAAATAGATTATCATGTTTAACACATATTCCACTCTCGTTATGTGCATATTATAGACATGAAAAGAAAGTGGCTATTACGAAAGATATTTTCGTCAGTTGAGATCTTCAGTTTTAACTTCCGTCCACTTTCTATTCTAGTTCGAGTCACGCTAAGATGTATGTGTTTCCGTAACAAGTACTCTCCCTTCAGTTTATTGATGTTGTATTGCGTAATATACGCTGTTCAGCTTTTGCCAAACCTCTCGAGAAGATAGTTTTATGATGGCTCTCATAATGTAAATAGGGAGTGTTAATCATCATGACTATTACTGTAGTCAAATATCTTATTCATGCCCGTTCACGACTTCGAAGTTCTACATATATATATGGCTTATGCAATGTAACTTCCTCCTGCTAACTAGCTAAGCGTACAGACGACTATTTTGACTTTAAAATCTTGAACATTTATATTTTAATTGATTTCATTTGAAGAAACATCAAAAACTCAAACGGAAAAACGTAAACTTTTATTTATTAGGCATTATTTAAAAGTCAGTTTATGTCATAATCTTTTTTAAAGAATCTATCGAGTACTGTTTGAACTGGATTTAATGTCGTTTAGATTATAATTAAAGTTCTATAATTTGTAGGCATTTTGTATAAGAAAGTTATGAGCAATTCTTAACCTTAAGTTTTAATGAAAGTTGGAACAAAATTGAAATTAACCAAAATTTATAGTGACTCAAAGACAAAACACAAATAATATTAAGTTAAATTGCATGTTGCTAGGCTGTCCGGCCAGAGTTTGAATTATAATTATCTCTTAATGATTCGATAGGAGGCAGGATACCTAAATCCATATAAATATGATCAAAATTATGAGAACTCATGAACTATTTAAATGTTCACTCAGAGGTGGAGCATAACTAAGTGTATTTCGTAAATTTCGGTTTCCGGGGAAAAAGTTTCCTGTAACTCAAGGTTGAATATTTATTTTGATTTCACGTAGATAAAGGATCTACCATGCTAAACTACTATGGTATTATCAAAAAAGGCTTTTATTTTAGTTTTTTGGAACTGCAGTCTATCATTAGTAGTTGAACTAATATGATAGGCTTCTGAATTATGAACGTTTGATATGATATTATGTAAGTCAAAAGGTTGTTGTTAAAATTTACTGTTCTGTGTCAAAAAGGAATTCTGTCTTACAATAATCGTTCAATTGTTTTTCTATACAAAGCCAACGTAGATTTTTTATTAATGTAAGACGGGAAGATTTCATAGTCTGTGGACAAAAGCTAATTTTGGTTTTACAAATAGATAGCATTTGGGTTCATTGAGTTAATAGGTCATCGTTATAGCATTAGACTTTTTCAAAAGACAAATAACTGATTATTAAAATTGAGATTCATAGATGACTTTATGTAACCTTGTAAATGTGTGTTGTAAGATAAAAATGAGTGTTTAATAATCCTTAATATAAATTTATAATGAAACACTTGATAGATATCTTTATTGACAATCAGTATTATTTAATTCTAACCATACTACATATGAATGGACATTAATATTCGAAGTGACTTTACTTGTTACTAATGTTAATTCAGTGTATTATGAATATACACTCAATAAACTTTTAGCAATAATATTTCTACGTTAATATATATCCGTTTTTAATACCAGTTGTATTATGAAATTCTTTTTTTTTCTTCACAAAATATAGGCATAGAATTTTTCGTCGACGTAGTATTAGTCGGCTAAGCTGTACAAACGGTATAATGCAACGTAGTATTACATCAACTAATACAATCAATGGAAGTTGTTTATCGTTGATAAATTCACCAGAATCCCAAACCAAATCATCTACGGATAATAATAGTAATAAGCATGTAAAAATGAATGGAAATGTATTTAATATGAATGAAAACAAAAATACTGTCGTAGCATCTTTTACTAAAACTGATGTTATTCGCGATGCTGAATCATTGAATCTAACCATTAAGGATATCGATTTAACACTGAATAATCCAATTGGATTGACACCGAGACGCGAGAAACGTCGAATTCTAACAGTTACCGGTGATTTAATGAATTCTAATCGTTTAACACGTGTATTTACACGTGGTCATAAGACATCAGTAGATGTTACTGAACAGTCAAATAAATTACTATCAAATACACAAGTATCCAAACAATTATCAGTAATGGGATTGAATATTAATAATAATGGCATTAATGTTAACAGCTCCAATGATAATTTAGATTGGTCATCTGATGTTGAAGATAAGTCAAGTACTTTAGTTAGAAAAACATCTGAGAAAAGTTCAGACAATTCTTCTACATTAAAACAATTAAATTCATTAGATTGTAGAAAAACTACTCCACCTAGACAAGTTGTTCAGGTTAGTTTTTTATTATTCAAGATTATTATATTATTGTTGTTAACATATTCTTGTCGTTATTTCTTTATACCAACATTTTGGCCTTAAGTATCATATTTACATTAAGTATAAATGTTTATAGACTGAAATTTGAGTTAACGAATTCCATAAAATAAATACTTCCTTCTGAAGTAAAATTCAACTTAAAATCCTTAAGATTATCATCAAATAGATGTTAGTATCCAATCCTTAGAATGAAATATATTGTTGTACATTTCCATATTTTTATTTAATTCATGATATTGATATAATCTGAATAATGTGTATCCAATTCTTATCGGCCTAATCTATTTGTGGACAGTCGTCGTCATTGTCTGTGAGTATGTATGAGAAGTTTCAAACCAGAGTGCACTAATCACTTTATTGTTTTCCCAGTATTTTTTGTATACAAATATTGTTAGTTCTAATAAAAATTTTGGTTCTATCTTATCAAGTTTTCTAGCATCACGTAAAATTCACTTCTTTAGAATAAAACTTTGACTATTTTCAAATATGTGGGTATTTTATCCATAAAACCGTTCCCTAGAAATTCTCTCGTTTACTCTTGTACATTTATTTTATTTACTGTTTATTGTGATTCTATATGCAAAAGATGAAAGAAACAAATAGTGCTCCTAATAGGGAACGTTTGATTAGAAAGAAACCCATCAAATAAAAGTCTTCAATTTCTCTAGAGTTCTGAAACACTATCCACTATACGTACCAAAAACGTTTGCTCGAATTCTTTTCTTATCCTGGTTTGTATTTCTCGGTTTATAACTTCTCTTCCTCTCTTATCTTTCTGTTAACTTCATATTTCCAGGAAACTCATGTTTACTTGTCTACTATTTTTGTATTTTAGTTAAGGAACATCATGGAATATACTTATTAACATTTGCCTTGTTTCCCTATCGTTTCTTAACAGTGATTCTGCATTTACTTCACATCAAGAAAAATATTTTCATAATTTAGTACCATAGATATTGTTACGTCACTGCATAATTTTTCTAATAACATCAATAAAGGTGCTGCTTGTGCGATTGACTTCAGTTGTTTCCAATTAATTTGTACTCACCTAACTTTAAAATACCGGCTTCGATGATTATTCATAAATCACCAAGCCTTCTGGGTAGATAATATATGTATTAATACATTCGAACTGGGTTGATTTTTAGTCAAGACAAGCAAATGTATTCGTAATACTTTCTTCCTTTGATTTTATTTTGACAAATAATCTTGAAAACTGCAGTATGTTAACGCAGTGCAACTTGTTACCAGTTCTTCAAGTTCGTTATATTGCCTAATGTTCTGAACTTGTCAAAATTTTCTGAAAATAACTAGCCCATTTTATTAAATTTTGATGAATAGGGAGTATCGCTTTTAATTATTTATGAGTAATAAAAAAAGATCTTTGTTATTTTCTCTGAGATAAAAAAATATAAAAAAATAAAACTTTGTTACATAATTGTATTCGTCCATTTATAAATTTATTGGTGTAATGGTGAATTCAACTCTATTTATGACTAGTGAGAAGTGTAAACATGAGTGCTTATTTTGAGTGAGTGGATAAATCGTCTAACTAAGGTTACCCCTCACAAATCTCTGTCTGAACTAGTTTAGTAAAACATATATGCGCATGATTTATGAGTGTATTCAACCGATGATGAACATTAAAGTTTCCAACACACTCTTAGTCTTATTACTTTGGATAGATGACTGAATAAATGTTAGAAAATGTGTAGTTTGACTAAATTGAATTGAACGTCAATTTAAAATAAGACATTTACCACTTATGGCATTGTATAATCATAGTGCTGTATTGCGAATTGGATGGGCTTCAAAATGTTAACCATCTGATTCCATTTTAGTTGTATTAAAACAATGTTCTTCACGACACTTAAAAGTCTTGATCTTAACCCAGTATGGTTGGTTATAAGCGCATTCCACAGAACGGATTTTGTATCGCTTGTTTGGCATTAGTTCTTCAGTGGATATCAATTTGTTATACAAAGTGATTTAGTCTTTAAAAAAAAAGTTGGATAATTTATTTAGTACGAAAACACATGGATGTTATATTTTTTTCTTAGGTTTTCTAAAATATTATTTTACTTAATTAGTTAGTTACCAATTGTTTTATAACAAGTTGAATTTGGCATAAGTTAATTAATTTATTATTAAGTTTTTCCTGTTAATTTCACAGAATATTCATCTGTTATTAATCAAAATTATATGCAGGTAAATAATGAATGTTTGTATAGTTTTCTTCAACTGAATTAGATCTTTATCTCACATTTTATTTACACTCATTATTACTGATAACAACTATCTTATTTAACTAAATAATAATTTTGTTAGTATTTTCATTATAAAACAAAATCATTTAGTAATACAATATATTTTCTTTTCTGATAAATTACTTAAACGGATACTTTACAAACTTTAATTGAAATAAATATCAGAAATCTTTGCTTGGTGATATTTTTACATAAACAAATAATCATTTCACTTTCGATAATGTAATTAAAAGACGAAGATTATCAGAACTACGTGATATATTAGTGCAATACATTTCGAACAATCTGATCACACATATACTTGTTAACCTTTTATTTTTATATATAAATGCTCTTAACAAGTATATGTGTGATCAGATTGTTTCGAAATGTATTGCGCTAATATATCACATAGTTCTGATAATCTTCGTCTTTTAAATACATTATCGAAATTTATCAAAGGGACGAATTTTTTTTAAATTATTTCATTATTTTAACACTACTGAAATAAATATGGTTTATATTACTATAAATGTGTAAACACATAAAATATCTTTAGATGAAAAACAATTGATGGTTGCTACAACTGTACACATGAAAGGTTTTAAAAAATGATTCAGATAATTACTCATGTATATATATATATATATATATATATATATATATATATATATATATATATATATATATATATATATATATATATATATATATATATATATATATAGAATTTGTGCGATTGTCTTTCTTTATCGCATAGTTATTGTTGACGTTTAACTTATCATATTCTTTAATTATTACTCCTAAATGCGTATATGAGTCCGAAAAGTAATCCATTATCTCTAATTTATATAATTGAGAAGTATCTCTAACTCTTAGATTGAACGCTAATAAATAAACAGGTTTTCTATTACCTAATTTGTTCCGAGAAATATTGATAATACTTATAGATTATTACCACTTAGTTGCATGCCAATCCGTGAAAAGTTATAACTAAGTGAACTTATCCTTATAATATTAAAATAAGTAGATAGCAGTCGTGTGAATCAATCAGCAGAAGGTCTACTAGACTCTATACACCACTAACCTGTATCTAATGATGATTTTTGAAAGTTATGTACAATTTCCAGCAAGAACAACCATGTTTTTGTTTGATCCAAGAGTTAATTTGCCGAAATTTCCATTCAGTAAATCTAGTTGTTGATATTTTTCTCTTATCACCTAAAAATTTTCATTACTATGTATAAAATTCATTTTGTTGGATCAGTTTTGTCATTCCTTATCTTGTTACTTATATAAACTCATAAACTATGACTCATAACCAACTTTTTCAGTAGAATTAACATGAGCATATTTTTGTATTATAATATTTGATCATCCATTTCTTTGAGTTAACATTTTATTTTTACCCAGTCTTTTCATTTAATCATTAACAATGTAGGACAAGTCATAAATGCTTATTGTTTCAAGTTGCCATACTTTACATCATCATAGTAAGAGACAACTAACAAAATTAAAAATAAACGAGTTAATATAATTATGAATTTGGTGGACTAACCAAAGAGAATGGATAATTTACATTTGACTCATCATTGGTTAGTAGCAGATCACACGTTTCATAAATATAACTCTCTCATGTCAATATTATAGAAATTCTTGTGCTAGATTTTTATTTCGATTTTCTAAAATGGTTCAAGAGAAAGTATCTCTTCAAATATATACTGAAATCGTTCTTTAACTTTATTTATTTTATTCATCTGTTAAAGTAATATCATGAAAATCGCATATTTCATATTTATATTTCTTAATTGAATTTATGATTTCCATCAAAACATAGAACGAATATTTCGGAGCAGAAACTTTTTATAGTTCTATTTCAAATGTTTTACGATTGTATTTCCCTGAAACACTATTATGACAACTTTACTTGTTAGTATAAAAGGCTTACAATTAATGAAGTTCATTAAATGAATTTAACACTAAAAGATTAAATAAAGGAATCATCAGCTTGAGAAGAGGACATAAGAAGTTTGAGTGCATAAAGAATTCATATTACAAGTACATTAAACAAAAGTGATCAAATACAAGAAAAGATTCAAATTACCGATGATGACTTTATCAAACTTATCAAATAAATAAAATTTGTGTACTTAAGTTAATAATATTAAAGTGTAATTAACTAATGAGGATAGGATTTTATTCTGTTCAAAAAATGAAAGGATAAATAATTATGTAGGATAAATGTAAAAGCATAACTTTTTACAGATTGGTTAATAAATAGTTTGCCTAGTTCTATAATCATCAGTTCCTTTAAAATTACAAATACACCTTGCTGACATGTTCCCTCTAGCATGTAAAATCAGGTTTGTGACTTTCTGTAGATTGAGTCCGGGTATCTAACGTTACAGTATTAGTAGGTTTTCTCGATTACTTAACTCAACTGGGGCACTATGAAGGGAAATATTTCCATTGTAAGAGATCGTACAGATGTTTCTCTGTCTGCACGACTTTTTGTAGTGTGAATAACAAGCTTTCTAAATCTCATCCTATTATTTCGTATCTGGTACCTTATTCACTGTAAAACTTTATATCCGTTTTCTTTGGCATAAACAGGACTGACCTATCTTTGTCATAATCTGGCATTGAAATTAAAAATATCTAAACTCTCCGAGCATACACTCACCAATCTACTATGGTTTTTATCAATATATGCATCGCGACTTTCGTGGTCTATGAAAACTGTCTTTAAAATTGGTGTGGGTTCATATCAATACAAATCTTTTATTTGATACACTGTTTATAGTTTTATTTCTCAATAACACTATATTTTTCAATATTAAATATTTATTTAGCCTCACGAAGCTCCACTTCTTGATCCTTTTGGTTCTGATTGTGGCAGGCCTCGTTTACGGATTCTCCTAGGACAAACAAATCGTTTAAATTGTCTAACTGGAACATCTTCAACATCAACTACGAAAAGTAATCCCAATACCGCATTCAAAAGTATCTCAGATCATAAAAATAATTTAGCTAGTCGTCAGTCTCTAGCAAAATCCTGTATAACATCAAAAGGAAGTACGAATTCTATTAATAGTATCTCTTCTTCGTATATAGTTCCAATTAGTAAAACAGATTTTTAAAATCCACCCATAATTATTTTCAATAAATTCTAAGAAACAGTATTTCTTTCATTGTATTTTTTCTCCCATGTGATTTATTCTTTTTTTTAGATATTTTTTGTGTTTCATTACATTATCAATAATGTTGATAGCCAAGTTACTGCATTGATTCTGTCATTTTATCCTGAACTTTCATTTGTTCAATAGTAAATATTTTTATGTTAAGGCGGTCTTAATTCTGGTTACCAAATTTTGTTAGTTTGTAATTGTACAGAATCAATATAGAAAAACTCAATGCATAATTCAGTCCAATCGTCCTACATTATGTACTTAAAAATCAATAGTTTATGTAAACGACAAGAGAATTCAGCAATTGCCATCGGATTATTATTATTATTATTGTTATTATATTCAGAATCATGTCTCCAAAATTATCCGAACATGTATATAATATGAAAAATAGTATATTTATAATATGTATCTACACTACTTACAATAAAATGGGCTTTATCATATTAACTTTTTATTCATAATCAACAATGGATTGTTTTAATAATCATTATATTTCAATTTAATTATTAAATTCTGAATTTGTATGATATTGAACTCACTTGAATTACACTATGAAAATGTAAATGGATGATTTTTATTTCTATCTATAATTTAAATATAATTAAAATATCGGATTAATTGTTTGTATCTTAAATAGTTAATAATAAAACTTTTTTTTTGTTGTTTTTACGCCTTTTTAAATTATTTGTTCAATAAAGTTGAATTTCTACCGTTTTCTTTTTTTCACAGTATAATATTTTCACTTTTTTTTCCAAATGTGAGTTAGGAGACACTGTCAAAAAGAAAACAAATACTCTTGTTCCTGTTACTAAGGTTTTTTTCTTACAAAAGTTAAGTAAACATGATATAGATGATTGTATAACGAAAACAATATGAAGATGATATACTAATTAAAAGTAGAGACTAGTTTAATGGTTAATCTAGTATCAAGTACCTTGATTTATGGAATGTTTGACTTTGAAAATTGAGTTTTAGATGTCCAACAGTTGCTCGTTTGCTAAAATACAATGGGATTCGTTTGAACTATGGTTAGATAGCTATCTTTCTAACATGTATATATCTAACAAAAAACTTTAACTGAAGCGTTATCTTACTATAACTAATGGGGAATTTGTCAATCCTTTTATCTGTAATCTATTTTACCGTGAAATATGTTTAGTAGATTAAATAATCGATGGTACTTCATGTATAATGTTGATAATGATGGTTATGTTAGGATTTAAACAACTGTAACTTTGTTTTTAATCTTTTTGAGATATATGAGTTTTATTACATTTGATATAGTAAATTAAAATAAATATGGTTATTCAAAGGAAATACCAATGACTATTATCACAATATACGAAACGAGTAGGCTATGAGCGTCAGTTCCTTATCGCCTAATTGTGACGGGTGATATTACTGCTAGGATGTTTTCATTCCAATTAGTAATCGTCCTTAATTTCCCATTTCTCAATTAAACATTCATATAAACAGTGTGATAAACTAACAAATAATATTCAGAAAACTAGTCCGTAAAGCAATATTCCGACACGGTTGCTTATAGAAGGGGTCTAGAAGTTGGGGGAAATTTTAACAACCTTGTTTCATTCAGAGTTTAACATTAAGCAACATTCTTGAAGAACTCACGTTTTGTCTGTTTGTTGATTGATTTGTTATTATCCTGTCTTTTGAAAATGTAGAGTACTTTGTTATATGGAGCATGCTTTGCAGATTATCTGGTTACATGAAATACGCTATTTTGTGAATACTTGTATTTGACTACAAAGTTCAGACAATCAGAAGGGAGGTGAGTCCAAAAAGTTTGAGTGACTAAGTAATGTGAAACAACAAACTGATGCGTCTTTGAGGTCACACCATTCTAGTAAATTACGTGTAGTGACTCACTTTTATCATGAGAACACGATTGGTTTATTGAAAACAATTATTATTATAACCAATTGTACCAGTGACTGTTTTAATGTGCTTTTTGTTTAACTGTGCTAAAAAGCATCCATTATTCTTACACTTTGATTGTGTCTTTGCGCGAATTCGGTTACGTTCTGTAACCAAGCTTGTATCCTGGCACGATCTCGGTATCCTTTCGATACCACGAGATCGACTTGGTCCATTAACTACTTTCTGATATTTGGCTTCCGGGGGATTTTATGGATTTATTTCGCACGTGTTTCTCTGTAGCAGTGTTCATAGTCAATTGCGACTCGAAACCACGCTACATACGAAACATTTTATGGAAGTTTCCAAAGTTTCCCATAACTCTTAAGTTTACAATTTGGTAAGGGGTGTTTATAACAGATAGTTACCTTAAGTTTCCTAATACTGAAAGGAAGAGTAACAGCTTGCTCAAACTGAATTTTAATCATGAGCGTTTGTTGCTTAGGAATAATATCTTTTTAAAACTATTGGGACATCGCAGTGACTTCGACCGGTTTTCCATTATTTCAGTCCCTAAATTTATTAGCATTATTGAATTTAGATTTCGTTAATGCTGCCCATATACGTAAACGTCTCCACCTCTTCTAGAGGTTTCCCATCAAGTATGGCTGCGTTGGTACTAGCTGTGTTGCATTTAAGAATCTTACTTTCTCCTTTGTGTATGTTGAGGTCTCTTGCTATAGAGGCTGCTGCTACACTATCTTCGCCTGGATTTGTTGTGTATGGGACAGAATAACTAGGCTATCTGTGAAGTCCAAATTGTTTGGTTGCTTGGATCTGCTTTGTTTGGTATCACGGTGAGGTATCAATCTTTCCAGTCCGTCGGCACTTATTCTTCCTCCCAAATCTTTCTAAATAATGTTAAGTATGTTTGTAATTACTTCTACATCTGACTTTAGTGATTCAGCTAGTATATTGCCAAGTTTTGCTGCTTTCTCACTCTTGATTTGTCTGATGACCATCCTGATTTCTTCAATCGTTGTTGAGGTGACATCTATGGGAAGGTCTGTAGGCGCTGTTTCGACTTCCGGTGGAGTAAATGTAACTGGTATACCAATCAGTTCCTCAAAGTGCTCCACACACCCATTCCTCTGTTTTTGAATATCAGTGACTGATTCCCTTTCTTTGTGTTTGACTAGTCTCTTTGGTTTACTATATTTCTCCGCACATTTCATTACCCCTCTCTCGTAGTTTTTTCTGCTGTCGCCGCTAGCTATTCCACTTATTTCTGCTTGTCAGCTCTGACGCTCTTCTTCACTTACTTGTTTGTTTCTATGTATTCAGTTTGTGCTTTGACTTCCTCTGCTGTTCTTTTATTGCAGTTAATTGTTGTCATCTTGTTCCTCCTTTCTTCAACCCTCCTCAGTGTTTAGATAGAGATCCATTCCTTGTCGCCAAGCACCTCCAAACACGTTGAAGTTAGTGCTTCCTTGATCGCTTTTCAGTTAGCCTCTATCGTAGTTTCTTCTTTCAGTAGGTCCTGTAAGGCCAGGAACCCATTGTTGAGAGTTATCTTGAATTCGTTGAGTTTGTCACCATGTCAAGGGAAGGATGTTTCGAACCCTTGTGATGCTGCCTCGTCAGCTGTCCACTGCTTCTTTACCTTAAGTTTTGTTTTCGCAACCACCAGGTGGTGATCCGAAGCCATATCAGCTCCACTTCTGGTTCTCACGTCTTACACTGTCCGTCTGAAGTTTTTAGTGATGCAAATATGATCGATCTGACTCACTGTGGTATAATTTCTTTAGACCCACGTAGCTTTGTGTATGCGTTTGTGTGGAAATATTTTGCCACTTATATCCAATCTGTTCAATGCAAATATGTTTGCAAATCTCTCCCCATTTTCGTTTCTCTCTCCCAGTCCATGTCGTCTCATAGTGTTTTCCATCCTGACTTTGGCGTTTAAGTCTCCTATCAAGATTGTTAGGTCGTTTCCTGTGCACTCCGCCACGATCAAACGCAAACTCTTATTAAACTGAGTCCTATCATCTTCATTGCTATTATTGGTTGGTGCGTAGAATTGGATAACATTCATTGTGCTTTCCTGTCTCTTTGTTTCGAAGGATGCTTTGATGATCCTAGGTCCGTGGGATTCCCATCCTTTAAATGCATTACATGCTTCTTTGGACTGCATCAGAGCAACTCCGTGAGTATGTGAAGCATTTTCCTCTTCGTGACCGGAGTATAGCAGCATTTATCGCGTACCTAACCTTGGACGTCCAGCTCGAGTCCAATGGGTTTCTTTGACTCTGAGTATTGTCATGTCGTATCTCCTCATTTCCATAGCTACTTGACTAGCCATCCCAGTCTCCCATATTGTCTGGACATTCCATGTACCTATGTTAATTTTTACTTTGATTGTTATAAGCTGCATAGGTCTCGTGACTTCCCACGAATATCGGCTTTCACCGTGAGGCATCATAATTATTCGGAATAAAAATCTTTAAACTCCCAGGAAGGAGTCTAAGTAGTTTAAATTGTTTATTGTGGTTAGCGTATCTTTAGTATTTTCGTTTTCAACGTCATGGGGTTGCTGACCACATCCCCAACTCACCTCCTCTACCGTGTCTTGAGATTGGCAGTAACCACGAAAGCACTAAAGGCGGAGCTATTATGTTAAAACGTATCCACGTTATAAAGGCTCAGTAGTATACAAAATTGTCCGGGACGTGGTCTATTACAATACGTCATCCTCCAAGTGTTAGCTGGATGACTTCTTATCGCTGATCATGAAATCGAAACTGATAAAAAGACAGAATCAAGTCTGTCCACATTTATCACTTCTGTCTTTGAATCTGTTGCATCCGCTTCGAGGCGCTTTTTTCGAGCACATTTTTAATGCGATTTTTGTAATAATCAAGCTTGTTACCGGAAATGAGTATCCTACTGTGAGATCATTAGCATGCAGAATGCGTATCTTTACTAAAAAACTGGAAATATCATTGATATGAGCTATATAGATTACCAACACTTAGTACATTTTTGTAGTCGGTGAGAATATATATGAGGGATTCATTTTATCAATTTGGTCGAGAATTCTTCAACCATGTAATCAGGCAACCGCTGATCCTACATGTCTCGTGAGATGTTGCTCATATCAGTACAGTGTCAAAACGTAGTGCATAAAATCATATTGAACATAGGTTATACAAAAGAAATTAAACTGTTAAATGGCGAAAGATGTAAACTTTAGGAATCTGTGTTGGTTACTAACAAGCTTTGAAATGAGCAAATAGTATCATTGATTCTGTAAATAAATGATATTGCATCAATAGGCAAATAATTGCTAGTCGATGTAATCTCTAGATTGGAAACATAATGGCATATATTTGACTTTCCAGCGATTAGGGCTACCCGATTCTAGTTCTCAGTTATATAATATACCCTTGTGGGCCAGGGTCATTTACATTGGTTTTCAGGAGAACCAGATACCATCTGGACTTTCACGTAAAGAACCAAACAGTACAACTCAACCCCGTTTAGCAGGGGAACCAGACACCGTACAGGCTTTAACGCTACAATCTGAATAGTACAACTCAATCCTGTGGCGCAACCACACAGGTACCAAGCACCCTGGTGGACCAACCCGATTCGAGTAGTGGTGTACAATTTTTATTCAAGTTATAAATTTTCAACCATAGCACTTGATACATGGCCTTCTAAAACTCTGGCAAAGTTTTGTCACTGAAAGCTGTGCGGATGAGAGAGTAATAACCTACTTTTATCAAGAGAACGCGATTGGTGTAATGGAAACAATTATTATTATAACCAATTGTAGCAAGGATTGTTTTAGCGTACTTTATTGTTTAACTGTACGGAAACACATACATTCTTCCGTTGATTATGACCTTGCACAGGTTCGGTTACGCTCAGTAACCACACTTGTACTCCTTCGGCACGATCTTTACTACAGCCACCATCTGTCTTCTGTTATTTGGTTTGCGGGGAATCTTATCGGTTAACTGACACGTAGTCTTCCTGTAGTGGTGATCATAGTCAACTGCAACTGGACACCAAACTACAACTTGTTCATACGTTTAAACTAACTCGGTTGATTGATAGCAGATGCTTATAATAACAACGACTTTGGACACTGATATTAAACCCTCCTCTCGAAGCACTGAGTTGACCTCAGAGAAATGTAGGTCTCAACTAATTTCATTTGTACTCTACCGAATGATCTGGTCAAAAAGAACAGGAAATCCGAATACATATAGTTTTAAAGAGTAATGTATTCTGTACATACGATTCAGCAGCCAGATGATGAAAATGAATAAACGTACATAGCTTGGAGAATATTGAAATTTGAAGAGTTGTCTTTTGATCGAAATCTGTGACTTCAGATTAACTCAGGTTTCATATTGAGCAAGCGATGACTATAAATATTAATCATCGGCCACCATCAATTGCTTCCCAGACAGATTTTAAGTCAGTTAAGTGGAAGATACCTGTCGATCAGTTTTGTCTCATTCGACAGATTATAATGTACCTTCATGTTCAATGATCTCTAGTGGATTTCTAGTATATTAACAAGGTCTCAAACTGCATATCTTCAGATCCTATTTTACCTGTTTTGTGGCGCATAGATATAAGGATGGTGATATCAACGAGAACAGAACAGTGAGCCTGAAAACGTTAGGGGTTCAGCGTTATTTAACAATATTTAACTGTTGACCTGGGCTCTTTTAATTACATTTGCCCAAAGTAATCGAAAGACGAGTTTAAGAGAATTGAGTGGGATAATGTAGTTAGATTATCCGCAAAGTTTTAAATCATAACTTTTCAGCCAGCTAGGAGGTATTGAGGTTCCACTGCAAGCTGAAGTGAGCTTTCGTATGGATGCTTCTCCTGGCGTCTTTGTCGTGGCTCGGGATCTGACTTCATTTAGATCGTACGGTTGATTGTTATTAAAAAATATGTCTGTCGCCTATCCTCGTACATAATTAAGTACTTAATTGGCGTTGGTGAAGAACGGAATTAAATAAGTCAAATGCGAGAATGGATTTTTCAATATGTATATTTCATTCACTCAGTTGTTGGAACAGGCAATCAGGGAGTTGAAACAAAGAGAGGAGAGCGAAGCGAATTGGAGAAGGTAAGTGAGCTAACTCGATTTAACCAGACGTAAATCAATATTTGTAGCCAGATAAGAATGAGCTACAGACATGTGATGAATAGGATAAGATGCGCACACATATACTCTCATCTAAAAACAGTCAAAACAAATAAGACAATAAGTAACAAGGTCAAAATGTGGTTTAAGAAGAATGGAATGATAACTTTTCCGGGAGATAGAATAAACTATGTGGGCTTAACATAGTACATGACGTTACACTATGTTCCAAAACTTCATCTAGCGGTGCTTGCAGTAAGTTCTGAAATGGTCAGGATCATTGGATAAAGTCTTCAGGCCAATTAGTTCAAAGGGATTATTTGCTACCTTGCTTTATTAACAGTCACTGCTATCATGTTCTCTGCTTAGTCTGAAGATGATGCGGATAAGCAGTGTTCGACAGTGTTGTCGCCAATTAGGTCAGTAGTCAACTTTAATGGGAGGAGGAGATTTGTTTGAACCAATGATAGACATATCATTTTCCGTGTAAAACGAGCTGGTAAGCAGCCGTAAAAGCTGCTCGGTACGAAGTGCTTAAACGTAACCTAGTGAAGACATCTGATAGAATGCCTCCCTTCGGGCTTGTCCAGTAAAACTAATAAGATCACTACCAATATCACTGACTTAAGGAGATATTAATTTTTGAATTTTATTCATCTCCGGGGCTCAGGTTGGAGGAAAACTATGCCGACTGTTCTTCATCTTATAATTGTGCTCTCTCGACAGTTCAATGAATTCCCGAAAAAATTGAGGTCACCTATTATGAAATTAGGGATACAGTTTGACGAGCGATGAATCATGAAACTTTTGAGCAGAGGCAATCTGTCCCTTCCCACAACGTATATACTGTGTCCAAAATGGTCTCATAGAGCTGATTGTCTGTTAGCAGGTTCAGGTTTGATCAATAAATGGTTCAAAATGGTTCAAATGGTTGTGGACGGAATAGAAGAAGCCTTCGCTTAACAGGCTTCCGTGTCTAGTAGCAGGGGATCACCAAATCCTCCAGGCAGGAACCTAGGTATGTTAACAATAAAAGAGGAAAAGAGATTGGTAAATCATAATGTGATGCTGCTCTTGGTCCTTAAGAATAGGTCAAGTTGCCTCTTGAAGGACTCCTGAGAAGTCGCTTGGACTAGCTCGGCTGGCAGCGAATTCCAGCTTTTGACAACTCTTAAGGAGTAGAAATTGTGTCTACATTCCGTCTTGCTATGTTGTGTTTCCAGTTTCTGGGTGTTACCCCTTAGGTTGTTATTCGAACTAAGCTTAAGTAGGTGTTTAAGAGGATGTCCAGAAGTGTTAAGAATGCTATAAGCCATTAATAAATCACCTCTAAGACGCCTATATTCTAATGGGTAAAGGTCTAGTGAACGGAGGCGTTCTTCGTAAGGCTTATATTTGAGTCCTCGAACTGATTTCGTGGCTCGCCGCTGGATACGCTCCAAAGTGACCTTGTCCTTTTGGAGTGAGGGGGGAGTACTATGTTTCCGTACTCTAAATGGGGACGGATGAAACTATTGAAGATTGTGTGGAAAGTTCTTCCGTCAAACTGGCCAAAAATGCGCCTCAACGTTACCAGTGCAAGGTTTGCTCGGAAGGCATTTTTGTCACAGTTGGCGTAAGACTTCAAATCATGGGGCACCAGGACTCCTAAATCTTTTTCGACTTGGGATACTACTAGAGAGGAGTTTCCTAAGTTGTAACTGTAGTTTGCAACATGTCGCAGATGGACTACTTTACACTTTGAAGTGTTAAAGGTAAATCCGTTATCGTCTGCCCAACTTTGAAGTCGAGTCAGATCCTCCTGAAGTGCCTGTGTATCGTCTTGGTTGCGTATCTCTCTCCAAAGTTATAATTTGGAACTCTCTATCTCATATGATTAAACAGAGTTTTGATGGATGATAAAGAGGCGATTCGATTCACGAGTTAGAATTTTTTTCACTCATCATATCGTGCGACACTATTGAAACGTCAGACTCGAAGTTGTGAACAGTTTTGAATCTGATCGGTACGTGTATGCGGCTCATCGTATATAACCTACTCGGGATTTCACGTTATGCAATCCTGGTTTTGATTGGTAAATCTTCTTGGTACTGAGCTTTTGTTCTTTAGAATTGCATTTGACTAATTTCAGTATCAAAATAAAAGTTCATGCTCCTTGCTAATTGATTTTCTGGCCCACTCTCTTTTACAGATTTCTATACCTTCGCTCTTCGGTATACTCTACCAGCAAATAATATAACTTCAGAATAAGCACACACTGTTCCACTTTCAGTTGTCAAAAGAATGGGAGGGCTTCTATCCTCACCGAAAACTGACAAATACAATGAAACTGGTTGTGGCAATGGACTTCGATACGGGATATCCAGCATGCAAGGCTGGCGTCTTTCAATGGAGGATTCTCACTGTGCCATAACACAACTTCCTGGGAATCTTAAGGATTGGTCGTTTTTTGCTGTTTTTGATGGCCATGCTGGTGCTTTGGTATCAGAACTCTGTGCCACAGAGCTGTTGAAGGTTTGTTGCCTGTTTGCGTACTTCATGACATTAGATTGTTGTCCGGATTCGAATTCAGCCTAGGATTTTAGGTTCCGTAGACTATGATCACTATTTAAGTAACCAAAGTTTCAAGATGCTATCCTTTTTTGAAGATAAATTTTGATTTGGGTGCTTACCTAATAGAATTGTTCAATACCTGGTATGTATATTTGACTTGTTTCTGAAAAGCGATGAGAATTAGGGACTTTGCCACAACCCATCCACTTTTTCCATTCGAATTCTGTCCTCTGTAATGACATTGTTGATTGCTCGAATTCGCTTTATTACGCATATTATCACCTATCCAATATTTCACACATCTAAAACCCGTTGGTTCATCTTCGTGGATATGACAGCCTTGGTGCTTGTCACCACCAGTTAACCTTTGCCTGGGTTAGGGATAGGGTAGTAGGTAAAGCCAACGAATCGATCGATGAAATAGCAAATCTTCAACTGAGATGTTTGGGGCATGTTTCGCGTATGCCCAATCCCGCCTATTGTCTGGGGAAGTAGGCTGCAAGAATGTTAGGGGTGGCCAAACCTGGACATGGCACCAGTCTATGAAGTCGTTGACAGTTGGACCTGGTGATGTTAATGGATGTAGACTACCTAGTTGAGTTCCACGTGATTATCGTAACCAATGGTTAAAGACTTCGAGTGAAATTACCTAAAGTCGTTTCCAACGGTTTGGGTGCGTCCATCATTCGTCCTCTCCCAGATTTTAGGCTTCTGAATTCTTCATAACTTTCCTTTGTTTTTATCTCACAAACATATTTTCTTCTCGAGTCGTATCTTCGATGCTTAATCTTTCCTATTACCATTAGTACTGTAGCTACCTTTACTATTCTGTGGTTTTATCTGACGACTCCATCTCTGTGCTAATGAGGTATTTCAGCTTAAACCAGGCCCTACTTTTCGTATGACTGACCGACTCATCAAATATCACTACAAAACGAGATATGCGTCTGAGATGTTATGTTATTTGACTGTATTCCTGTTGAAGATCAGTGGTATGATGATTTCCAAGACTTCAAATAATACAACAGTTGATTCGCATTAATTTAGATAAAAGAAAAATCCATCGAGTCACTCACCGACGTTACTAGTAGAATTTTTTGTCAAATACAGCAGAAACTCTACAATATATTCCGGGTACTAAAGGTATCTGAAATTCCCAACCAGAACCCCACGTACAGCAGCAACAACCCGGTAGTACACGAAAGTATTCTTGTAGAAAAATACTTAGTACTCTTAGCTTGGTTGGCAATAAAGCTTAATGTATTTTCCGGGAGAATGGCTATTGATGCACTTCCGGGAAGTGTGCATTACGTTGAACAAGTGCATTCAATCGAAAACTAATAGAAAACCATACTTTACACGAGGAAAACAACAAAGTATAGGCATCGTAAAATCCAACGGTATTGATCGAGTTTAAGTTAATATATTTCCCAATGTGGCTTCAAGTATAATTTTTCTGAAAAATTCTTAACTGGAGTTAGATATATTTAACAGATTACAATGAACACGAATCAGAGGGAACATATTTTGTAGTGTCACGATGCAGGGGATTGGAGAAAAGTAGTCAATGCCCCATCTGAACTATCTGGTGTTTTTCGAACTTTTATTTGGTTGAACACTACGTTAATCATGACTGACTGAGGAACCTCTTTATTTGAATCAACGTGCTCTAAAATATGCAGACCTTTGTCCATTATATTTGAGTTAAGGAAGGCCTTTGTGGTAATTATACACGATCGCATACGACTAACTCCATGAATTTGTATTAATAAGGGCAATTTCCCTTCGTCCTATTTTTTGTAGCAAATCCTTTTACGCTTTGCTCTTTGCTTATTAGATTAAATGTGCGAAATGCTTTTAGCTGTTATAGACAATTTATCACCAACATCCCTTCAGTAGTTCAGTAGTCGTTCAATCGATTCATGGCCATTTAGGACTTTGGTAACATAACAAAAGTCGTCTTTCGTTAAAATCTAAAGTTTGAAGATAGTGTGGTTTGCCGTATAAGCTCATTTTATTCTGTTGATTTGTATTACCTTTTTTTCACACATTCATTCATTCTAATTAACTTCAAGGTGCTCACTGAATTAGTCATTCAGCTGGTTTCATTATTTACCAATTAATATCCTGCCTTTTTTAGTGTATTGTGGATACTGAGGAATTCAAGAAAATCAATCCTGACTTGGCACCTAGTTTACAAGAAGTAGAACGTGGCATTCGCGATGGTTTCTTATCTTTGGATGATCGTCTTCGACACCTTCCTCAACTTGCTAGCGGTGAAGATAGATCAGGATCCACTGCTGTCTGTGTGCTCATAACACCTAAACATATTTTCTTTGCCAATTGTGGTGACTCTCGTGCCATACTCATTCGAAAAGGTAAAGTTGCCTTTGCTACAGTTGATCATAAACCTGTAAATCCAAATGAGAAACAGCGTATACAAAATGCCGGTGGTTCCGTTATTATACAACGAGTAAATGGTTCTCTTGCGGTTTCTCGGTATGTTGGTTATGGTTTTAAAAAATTCTCTGCTGCCTTTGTGTTTGTATACATGTATATTATAATTTGAGTGATTTTCAATGAAGCAACGGTTCAGCAATCTACAATATAACTACCTGAGGTCGCACACTGATTTAGCTAGGCTTAATATCGTGGTACAATCAAATTGCACTCCTGAAACATATAATTTTTACTTGGATGTGTTACTGAAGTTAATATGCACAGGGCATATTGAATCGTAACTCAAAATAACAGTTCAATAACAGCAAAACTCGAAATTTACAATACGGTATTGAGTATTTAAGACGGGATATTTCATCTAAGTTTGTCTTTAATTGATAACGAAGGTTGATACAATGTCTCGGTATTTTTTGGAATCTAACAGTCAAGGAATGAATTGACGTGACGTTTTCAGATAATTATTTTTAAGCTTTCAGTCAAATTAGAAGAGCAGGATTATTCTTTGTTCATTGTTTGGTATATAATTCATGTAAATGATTCGGTATTTTATCGTTCTAGCATTCAGCTTATCAAGTGACGCCTGTTTCGACGTCCAAAAAGTTATAAATTCCCGAGATAGTGTATACACAAGACTGTTAATCGTTTCAAACATCCTGCAGTTTAATATACAACTTAATAGTTTTCACTTTGAAGTAAATATATTACAGATTTGCTGTGAATAGTTGTGATAATTTCTCTCGTATTTGCACATTGTTGATTGATAAGTTTTCCTTGAGTAAATATGTAAATAATAGATTAGCTCCTATTCAGCAATTAGTTTAGTAGGAAAACTTAGACTACTTGTTACTTTTTCTGTCAAAAACCACTACAAATTGTAAATTATTGGATCTGGTTGAAGTAAAGGGTCAATCGAAACCTAATACATGATTTAACGTACTTGAAATCTGTATGTATTCCATATGTTCAGTTAGTCACCCGATAAAATAGTTCTTTTCGTTAACTTAACTTTTCGTTAACCTTTGAGCGACTCGAAGGTGACCTTGAGAGTATCCACCTACTTACTAGGGCTAAATGAGGGTTATAAAGCAATGTGCCCGACCGTTGTTACTACCTTGACGTGGTAGTCGGGCTTACCTATCGTGATGAAGCAGCCGGGCTATACTGGCTGGAACAACTGTTCCTCAAGGTTCTACCATGTAAGACAGGTTGGTTGAAGGGCGGTAAGACTAAAAGCAACAAACCCAAGGTCCGAAGGCGAAGTCGTACTGCTGACTGTACAGAGGTGTGACAGCAGTAAGGTGTTTCTTTCAGACAACCAGCATGACAGCGATGCTGCCTTCCCACAAGGAGAGGTGGGGTTAGAAAAGGTCGACCCTAAAAATGCACACCTCACCTTATCCCACGGATATCCGTCTCCGGCGGTAAGGTCTCAACAATACGGAGCTAACAAGAAGATTACCCATAAAAAGGTCATGTGTGACCGACCTCAAGCAATTGTCCCGTGGGCACTGTGGTGACGCTCTCAGGTCACTAAAACCACCTCTAATCCAATTTTATTTCCCGGTACCTCCAGAATAATCATTCTACGGTGTGGACAACCGGGAAGTGATAACCACCCTCATACCTCTAGCAGCACTCAAGACCACTGTATTCATAATCAACCTCCATCTGACTGACTAACGGTGACAATTGAGATGTACAGATAGGATACTCGTTTGCTCAACGAAACTTGTGCTGTTGCCCGGGGGTTTGGACACTCAGTTTTAAATTCTTTGGATAACAATTTAAAACTCTCATCTTCCTCCAAATGCCCTGGTATGGCTGAGGGTGGGAAGATCACGCTCACCCCTTCGAAATGCTCTCACTTGGCCACGTGCATACAACCACTACCAGGAAAGTCCTACTTACTGCCTTCTCGCGGTGGGGGTGTTGTTTACGAAATTGAAAGCACCGAAAGCGAATGTGCGGCGCTTTAACCAAGTTGGTGGACACGGAGGGTCCACCTAGGGGAGTTGGAAAACACTGATTCTAAACCAGTGGTGCACATGGGCTGGCTCCAGGATCCCGAGTGAACAAAAGGCGTATGAACCTATTGTTGGTCACCGGTTACTATGAGACTGCATCTCCTAAATTTGCTTCACTGCCTTGTGGATCAGGCCTTCGGGTCAAGGACTCCGGTCGTAGTCCCACAAGAAAACCACCTGCTTCGGTTCAGACACCTGAGCAGTATCACAGCCCTCACACAAACCGAATGGTGAAGTGTAGCCCACATGTATTTGGTGTCCCCTTGTACCAATATTTATGTTTAAGCAAATAAATAAAAGCTCCTTTCCAATTTATTAAGGTTTCTCACATTTGATTGCCATGATTAACCGTCATACCGTAGATGTGACTCACTTTTTGACAGGAGTACATACTTTAACATTCTGGGTAATTAATATTTTCAGCTAAAATTTTCAGTGTATCTTTTTACGCTATTATTTCGAAGTTATGTTTAATCGTTGTCATAATTCTTAATTTTTTTTAGATCATTAGGGGATTATGCCTTTAAAGCTGCCAAAGATTTAGGTCCTACGGAGCAACTTATATCTCCAGAACCTGAAATCACTGTTGTTGATCGTGATAAAGATTTAGATGAAATTATCGTTTTAGCCTGTGACGGTATTTGGGATGTTTTAACTAATGAAGAACTTTGTTTACTTTTGCAAAATCGCATGCGATGTGTTGATGACTTATCAATGATATGCAATGAAACTATTGATATGTGTTTGTATAAAGTGAGTTTTTTCCTTTAATTTTCAATCATTTGAATGTCGTTTCTGATGTTGATGTGTGTGTAAAACGGCTGATTTTGTATTGTTCAATAGGGCTTGGTTCGGTCTGTTTAATCTTAGCTATTTTTCAAAGGTAATTAAGTATTTCTTTTTTACTGTCTCCAATCTATATATCGTGATTTTCATTTACATCGTCATGCGAAAACAGTCACCAGGCTGTATCACTTGTTATAACATGAACAGTGCGATTAGATATAAACCTGTACCTGGTAAATGAGTCATAACTCAAGGTGATGATAGATAGTGGATAAATTATTAAAAGTTAAAAACTTATGGTAGTAATTTACTCTTTTTTCATTAAAAACAACAATCAAGAGAAAGTTAAATACGACATACCATCATTTTTCAGTCCTCTTTTCATATGCTGTAGCAATTCATTCGGTTGGTAATTAGACAATGTAAACTAGTCATAGGAAATGTTTGTGTTAAGTAGCTAAATGAAACGAAAATTTTAGTTGGACTCAAATCTAAACCTCTGCCGTTTTCCTTTTTTGGAAAGGTAATAAAATCGAACATATAGATATACCCTTGTGGAAAAGCTATGTAGAATTTAAAGTTGATTCAATTCCAACGGTAGGATCAGTTGTAAACAACAACCTCTATCTGGAATCTGAGAGTTTACTTACTGCCTCTGTATCTTTTCCTCACTGTTAAAACATTAGTTCATAGACTTATATAATTGGAAATGTTTATAGTATTGATGTGGTTGATGTTTCTTGAACCATTTACTTTCGAAAAGTAATTATGGTGTAAGAAATGTTTGTTATTTGTGATTAATTTACTGGGACACAGTAACTATGTATAGGTTTGTGTATTTGGCTTCCAGCCACACGTTTTGTTTGAGAGATAGTTCAACAAATTCGCTCATGCCGTAACATATGTGGTGAGCATTGACCTTGAAATCCGATGGTTTAGACTTAATTGTTTTAAGCACCATGATCTGTACTGTTGGATATAATCATGAAGCGAGTTCAAATTTTAATCATTACCAAGTCCTAGTAAATTTAGTCATAAAATCTTTTGCATAAGCTTATTTTCATAGCGTATTAGATTAAATTGATAATTATCATCAACATCTCCATAGAGTAGTCGTTATAAGTTAAGAAAAGAACTTTACGGTATAAACATGTGATTGCTATGACCATGTGTTTCACGTCTGTCCTTAACCTACATTTAATCTGAATTGACTAGTAATACATAGCAATATATACATGATTATATCGTAATACTTAACGTAAGTTATTTACGAAGAAGAAGCTTATATACTATTTCTGTAAAGGCTACCGATACTATCCGGTTACCCATGCTGATTTGACAGAGCTAAAATTAATCCCATTAGAGCGGATGACTTAGAGTTATTATATTCCTCAATCGTTTATTTGTCAACTGGCTTCTAATTATGTTCTTGTATTCATTATTTTGTAACCAAACGTGTTATATTGTTAAAAGAGGAAACTTATTCCAATGAGCAGCTGTCTATTCTTCTGATATCAGTTCAGTTAGTGGGGGTCTTACGTCTGTAATTCGGTCTCGTAAACAATTATCACTCGAGTTCACTGTCTAATTGGATATTATCAACTAAGCGACGTCTTTCGTTCTGTAATTTAACAGTTCTCAAACAAATTTTCATTACAAATCTTAAAAGGTTAATTCATAACACATGTTGAAGTATAGTCGATTTCGAAGTTAAAATCTGCTGATTGAAACTTGAGTGGTTTGGTCACTAATAGATGGTCAGAAATTGTGTAGTGGAACTTATATGTCTCACAACATGAAACACCTTGTAGCTTTATGAAATCAGCTATACTTCTTGTGATTGATAAGCTAGTGAAAACCAACATTGTTTCGTTATCACATAGACTGGTCAATTGGTTTATCACTTATTTACAAATTCTATAATTTTTATTTTTTTATTTTCCCTTATTGAAGGGGAGTTCCGATAATATGAGTATGGTTCTAGTGGCATTTGATCCTGCTCCTCGAGTAGATCCTACTTCTAAAACGGAAGATGAAAATTTAGAATCTGTTTTAGTACAACGTACTAAAGGTAAGACGGTGCTATTGCTTTATAATATTCTGTTATTTTATCGTTATTAGTTTAGGGGATACTTGTCGCTCGAATGTCTATGCTCTTATTTTACAGTAAGTTTTATCATTCCTGATGCATAATGGTTATGCAGCTGTAGTGCTCCTACCAAAATTCCAATATTTGATCTGAACACGGAACTAACGAACCAAAATTTATTCGATTAGAACAAATTGCGTTCTTCTTTATAGCATACTAAGCGCCTTTGAGTGACTCGTATTAAATTATATCAAAACACAAACTCTTTGCTCAATTTAAACGGTTCTAATTTGAGAAAAAACTATCAAAAGTACAAAACACCTCAAGCGGTACAGCCTGTGCTATATAGTCAAAGGTTTCTCTAGCACAAAGTAACGTGTTAAACAGCAAAAGGAATAGTTAATAAACAATAGTTCGATACCTGAGAATCAATAAAAATATTCCCAACAAATGGGATCAGATATCTATCACCAAGGATTCCAGTAACTTTTCAAAGCAGACAGTCAGATTAACAGTCATACACAACTACGCCGCGACATTGAGTTTAGTCAAACACGACAGTATTGTCAATTGTCCGGCAACATACAACAGTAAAATTAAGTAATGAGGTAAATCTCTAACCAAGATCAAATAAAAAGGTCAAGACAAGAAAGGCTGAAGAACATAAAGTGTGGTTAAAAGAGACCTGAATGAAAGTTAGAATACAGGACAGGGAAAAGGAACAAATGAATAACAATACTGCCCAATAAAATGCTTTGGAGGGATTTTCAGTGTGTTGTTTCCGTTATAATGAATGTTGTTCACCTAACGGAAAGAGAATTAGTGTTGAGTACATAAATATGTAAAGTGAAATTTAAATGTTTATGTTTTGGGATTCTTCGTAGTACTATCATCCTGCCTACCAACTGACTCACACCCACTTATGCAACAGTGTTTCAGAACATGGACAAATTAGCCTGCATTTAATCTCAGATGATACATACTATTTCTTATCTCTATGTAAAATTCTAATACATATTTGGTTGTATGCAGCTGATGAGAAATCACGAAATATAGTGAATTCATATTATTCTGTATCTATATTTGTTCTGGCTTTATTTAAATTCGTAAAGGAAACTAACGGCTTGAAATCTCAGATCTATTATTTTACCTGATGGTAACACTTGACTCAGTCTGAGTTATTTTGCTGAAGTTTGTTATTGAAATATTTATCAAAGAAGCTCACAGATCTATAGAAAGCTAGGATTTGAATTAACCATTTGAAGCAGTGTTCGTCGGTGCATCTCACATTTCTTAATTCCTATTCAATTTTGTCATAAATATTCTCTCAAAGATAACTCTTCATTTGACCTTTCACTGTTTCGTCTCTTAAATAGAAAGTCTTTCATCAGCTGTGAGTAGTACACTTATCATGTAGTTGTGTTTGATGAGAATACTCTTAATGGTGCACTTGCAGTAATTTTTATAATCGTAAATTTCCAAAGCTATTTTATTACTTTTGGACTATATTTCATAAATGTGGTTTTCATCTACTGTCCAAATACTTGGAATTTGAGGCTTTATAACCTTTAATTTTTTTTCGCTAGGATTATGCAGAAATGTTAATTAAAAATTCAAGCGATTGAATTCTCCGTCTTTGCACACTATCTGTAACTTGAGAATATAGATTGATAATATTTGAGGGAAGTCTTATTTTCCTTAGATTCCAATTTGAAAATAGTTCTGCTGCATAATGATGTTCACGACGGCTGGTTGCAAGTTAATTCATAGTTCGTATCCTTCATATGGAATCCAACCGAGGATCCTAACATTTTGCAACTAAAGTGATACTGTTCAAATACTGTCGAAATCTAGCGTCTACGTTTTCCGACTTTAGTCATTTTGGAATGTAGCACAATCATCAATAATTATTAAGTGATCTTTGGTAACTTTGAGATGTATGTGTCACAGATCTTCGAAAGAACGTTAGTGTGTCAGCTCAGTTTTGCGCACCGATGATAGCTAAAAGAACGAATTAAGCGATATCGGTTAATCTAAACTATGAAATTCCGACTCAACAACCGAGTAGTGTCATGCTGATTCCGAGCTTCGTTGGATTAAGGTTTTGCCTATTATAGAGTCATTAGTAGACGAAACAGCTGTTCAGTTCTTTTTAACTCTGAGTGGCTTTTACGAATTATGCCGATCCACAGTGAAATTTACTATCAAAATGGTATCCATATTATAAGCTTATTCGCTAGTCCTCTTTAGTCTAGTCACAGATGATCAGAGGGTCACTAGAGGTTCTTTCATCGAGTATTCCATTAAACAGGTCTATAGCGAATATTCCAATTGATTGATTACAGATTACACTTAAGTGGTTCATTCAGACAACAGGCAAAAGATGGGACTTGAAGCCTAGTTTAAGAACTTGTCTATGCATAAATTGCGAATATTTTGCAAATGGAAAATATGTAATCTTACGTGTATCTAGTTTGCAAAGCTTTATAATACTAACTAAAGCGATTTTGTTTATGCTTCGCGTATAAAATCAAGTCAGTTATTTGTTTTAAATTTGTAGTATAATTCTACATTGATTTCTTTTCTTTATTTTATGTACATAATGGGGCTGTTTTAACTTTTCACTTCCGGCTTTTCCGCATTATAATTTACTCTTTTTTTCCAGTAAATAATGTGTTTAATTGTTAAATGCTATTTTCTTTGATGTATACAATGAATATCAGTGACAAGAAAGCTTTTATTTGCTTTGATATCAGTGATTAAACTATGCATAGTGTTTGATTTTTAATTTTAAATTTGTTATTTTTCCTGATGTTTATCTGAAAGGACTATAATTTCCTTTTCTCATCATAGAATTTTTGGAAAACCATAGCAAAACTGAAGTAACAACTGAAATGGTTGTAGAAGATTTACAAGCATCTGTTGGCAGTTTGCCATCTTCTGGAAATTGGCTTTGCAAGTAAATCCCTTTCTGTACTTTATTTCTTTCAGTGTTATTTTATATTTTCTTATCGGTATTATGAAATGAAGGACGTACATTTTCATGCGAAATCAATGTTGATTCGCTGAACATTTATAAATCCACGGTATTAGGGCAGTTAAATTATAACATTGAGACTTGGTTATGCTTTTATAGATTGTGATGATTAAACTAATTGGTTGAAAAGGTCTTGATGTTTCTTATCCAAGATCCTACTTTCTAAAACAGGAAAATAATCTGTCAGTATTTTTACTTGTGTTATAATTTTAAAATAATATTGATTTACAGAGTAAATAACTTCTACGCTTTTTTAAAATTAGAAGTCCGATATATATTCGTGAGGATACTTAGAAAATTCACTAGGGACTGTTTATAATATACTTTATTCATCATGTTATGCGAGATAATAATGTTTTAATTCATTGACCACGTACAAATATACATACATAGTTCTCTAAATTCTACCAATACTACCTGTTTGACCGAACTTAAGGATATGTGGTTGATCTCAAACTTGAAATTCGATAGAATGAAAATAACTGTCTTCGTTTTCTCCTTGAATCAACAAGTCAAGTAAGTAATAAATGCGAGAGATTATCTGGTGAAAGTCAATATTATTAGTACTGGGAGTTTCGTGGTTTATGTCATGTAATGACTCTAGGCAACCGTTGAAAACCAGGGTGTTTTGTTTGCAGCAGTACGCATTCAGGACCTCTCACGAAATGGAGCTTAGAAACCTCAGGTCTTTCAATGATGGACTTTTAGCTTTTAGAACGCTGGGTTCAGCTTTGAACAATAGCCTATTTGGTTAGGATTCAAACTGCATTTAGAGCTTGAGTCAACTCGGTCTATTACTCAATCATCATCCAATCAACCCCTTTGTTGGATAACTGCGTCATTTTCAATTTGGTTGAACTCCACCCGTCATGACCCTTCGCTAAAAACCCTCAGGGTTCAATTCATGAGTGTATACTTCCAAAGAATCTTATTTTAGGACGAAACAATTGTCTAGGGCTTTCCTGGTTTCCAACTAAGTTCCGTCGCGATGTAAATCACGAAAAACCTTTCTTTGTAGAACTGATGTTTTATGTATGTTATTCTGTAATCGTTGTTCATTTTTGTTTGTGGTGGAAAATTGGTATGTACGTTATTTCGGTTGGTAATTACTTTTTTTAATGATTAGTTTTGAAATATTATTCAAGTCAACTTTAATGTATTTCAATGTAGTACTAATCTGTAAGTATGCATGGTTTGCTGATGGAAAGGTAAACTGCTTCAAGCTATTGAGTTACTTATTTTGACATTTGGATGAATTGTTTCGTTTTGAATACAAAATTAAGACATTGTTTATGTGAATTGAGAGATTGTTCAAACAATTCGATCGATTGTATGCCGTACATTTATTTATTGGACAAATGTTGTAAGAATGTAAATAGTTTCTCCATTAAAAATTGATTTTAAAGCATATTTATTCAAGAATTCCCTGCTTCTGAACAAATTCAAAATTCCATTCCAGTAAAGATGAAAGCAGATATCTAGTTTGTCGAAAATATTAATAAATTCTAGTGATTATTGATTCGTTAAACTCGGCAGAAAACCTGAAACATCAACCTGGTATATCCTAGCGGAGTCGCATGACGTAGTTAGTTTTGTAATTCATATTCTTAAAAATTGTCAGAATTTAGTGTGGTTCACATTCAGTTAAATAAAGTTAATTTGGACAATTATTTGAACTACAGAAATTTGTAAGTATAAAATGGTAATTATAACTATATGAAAAATATATGATTAACTTAATGCAATGTGACTTATCTTTTCAATTCGTTGTTTTTCTCTTCTTAGGATTGGCAAAATCCAAGAACTGATTGATTCTCATCGTCTGGCTTATTCAAATCGTGGGATTCAGAACCGATGAACTCATATACTCTCTTATCCTTCATTCTCTCATCTTTTTTATTCTTTCTCTTAAATGTATCGACTGCTTGTGTTACATTTGTGCTTTGTATGTATGTATGGGTGTTTGTAAATATGATGAATATACTTGAGCTAATCTACTCTTGTCTGATTTTTATATGCTTAAATGAATATTCTTAAATTGTTGCTTATTGATCTAGTCCATTTGCAATCAATATTTCCGTCATATATATATACTTCATGCTCAATATATCTTTATTTTCCTTCCTTTCTATTCACCGAAGTATGTATATTATCTTAAGTCTATCAAACGATAATGTGCAGTATTATATATATTTATATATCTGTTTTTCTCTATCTCCTCATTTTCTTTTCACATATTTGTGTAATATATTTCATGTGGTTTCATTTGATCCTAACAGTAGTAGAATAACGGTAATAGTAATAGTATTTATGATTATTTTTTTTATGATACTGTTGAATTTGTACATGATCAGCAAAAAGAAAAAAAACACAAGTTGGTACTGCATTTATTTATTATCATTTTCATATTCATAAATTTATAGTTTTGAATGAGGTTAGATTGTTTTTTTTTGTTGCTACTTGGTAATTAATGTTGATGTTTTGTTTCACTCATGTTAACGTAATTTCTATAATTTGTTTCTTCTATGTTGCTAGAGGAAAATTAACCCAGAGATATTCAATATTATGTTTGTGTGCGTGTGTGAATAAATATGAATCTAATCATTTAAAGTCAAGGATATTTTTCTTTCTATACAAATAAGTCATTCATTGGTCTCAATGTTGTCTCATTTAAATACGGTTATGAGCACTAGATAATCAATAATAATACAAATAGTGTTGAACATAAGAATTATTGAATATCCGGTAATGTTTATCCTTTTATTAATTATTATTTAGTAAATATGTTTACATATACAGAGGGGAGTATGTAGTTATAACAAACTGAACACTACTAGCCATGGGTTTACAAAAAAAATGAGTAGGTCCTATATTGTGCTTTTTTTCCAATGTTGTACTCAATGAATATGTATCTTCAATATGATAATATTTTGATGCACCAATGCCAACTTCTATGCATTTAATTTGTTGATATATTTTTCTTTTGTTTTTTTATTTATTTACATTGTTATATAAGATGATTAATTAATAACAAACTGTATGTAACAGAATATTTGTATTTGTAGTAAGCTATTTGTAACCAGTTTTGGAGATGAAAACTGTTAATGTTTCATTAAAATATTCGTTACGCGTAAATTTATTCACATTAAACATGTGTAACAGATTTTCTTTTTGTTTTAGAGATATCTGGAACCTCGTTCATTTTTATGCATAGACTTTTTTCCCTTATATTGGGCAGTTCAAAGTTTCTGTTAGTTTTCATTTCGTTTAATGCACTTAAGAATTTCACATGAATTTTGGATATTAATTCGTTTAGTTGGTAATTACATAGTCGTTCAGTGAATTTATCATTAAATAGTGTGAATCATAGCAAGACAGCTTAGTGCTCTTTTGTTTCAATAAACAGATTTTACATTGACTAGACTTATATACTATCAAGAATAACGATAAGTTTTCAGCTTTTCAAGTTATTATATTGACTACTAAAATTCCTAGTTATATCAACTGCACTGAATATTCAAAGATAGAATTAAGTTATTATTTACTGTACGATATTTCTGTAGTTCACCACATATGTACGAATAAAGTAACCATGTATCATGACATAGTTAAGTCAGTTTAGTGAATTCATGGTAAGAGCTAAATACAATGTCTAATATTACGAATAGAGAAGAGTTATGAAGAGAAAGAGGTATTTTTGGAGTAGATTATTTTGTATTTGTCATTTGCATCATGTTTTAATTTTGAGTAAAATAGCATTGATAACCTAGAAGCGCTAGAAAGCTATTGTCTTCTATTTTGGGACTTCTTTTCAGTGACCACCGACAACTCTTCCAGGAATCAGACAGAAGTTATCCAGACCCCACAAGATATGAGTCATCTTCAAACCAGAGATGACAAATAGCTTTCGTATTTGTATACTTATAAACAAACAGTATAAAGCTTAGAAAGTTCCTAATAATCTTTATTAAATGTTAAATTTCATAAGAACACATTTGTGATGCGGAGATATTATACTATGGAAAATGACGATTTTCTTAGTTCCATCGACTATCTTTTTTTTCGCATAATACTACCTAGTATTCATTCAACGAATTGTTTTTTAGTTGATCTCTTTTGTTTATTGTCCAGTAATTAGTAATAGGAAAGTGTTATGCAAGATTCCACAATAATGTACATTAAGTTCAAGAAGGAGATATCAAATAACTGTAAGCCACTGACAAATTGAATCCACGAAAACTCATAATATAAATCTACTGGTTTTTTTCATTGATACATTCTCCATCTGTTTAATCAGGAAATTAAGCTTTGAGTAATAATAATGTCCTTTGGGGGGAATTTCACACACTTGTATAAACACTTTTCTTAATAATCCATTGTCAAATAAGTAAAAATAGAGCATTGTCTATATCAGTATATTACATAATTCTGCTCTTGATATCAACAATTCACTATTCGAGTTAAATTATATTTACTGTCATTTTCATATTGCATTATGATTTTTAATATTTTTGGCATATAATGTCATGATGTAATCCATAGGATAATAATCAATTAATAACTGATTGGAGGTGAATTCTAAATAATTGATTATCGAATTTCAATAAATTATTTTACTTTAATCAATCGATAATGGTATAAAATAAAATAATGAAAGGTTACAGTTTCAATTCAAATTAATGTGAATAAAAGTCACAAAAAGGAAAGAAAATAGTGTCAGCTCTAGAAACAAAAAAAATGTTAAAGATGTATAGAAATTCATTAAAATGTAAAAAATAGAAAATGATAAATTTAACCGTTAACCTAAGTTTACTAAGCGTGATTTAATGATAACTAGGTTAGATGCTTATTAAAATTTTGATAAAATATTGTACTATACCATGCTAATACAATATTTAAAACAATTAACACGAATTGAGTATTATATATGTATATATTTCCGTTAATAAACACTTTGTAAAGTGTTAGTAACAAAAAAATGAATTCAATTCATTTTAGTTATTCTAAATCTCACTGGTTGAAATCATGGGTAAATTGAAGCTAGACCACCATGGAAAACCTGGAATCACTGGACGGCCGTTCGTTCTAGTATGGGACTCCTCAACAGTACGCATCCACGACCATGCACCCCGCGAGATTCGAACCCATGACCTATCAGTTTCGCGCCAAGCGCTCAACCAACTAGACCATTGAGCTGACCGACATCCAACGGTGTTAATGTCTAACTCCAACCAATCCACGAAGTTGCGCCACCGTAAACCATTGTTTTCAGTGAGCTGATATCTCGCGGGGTGCGGGATCGTGGATGCGCACTGCTGAGGCGTCCCATACTAGGGCGAAACGGCCGTCCAGTGCTTCCACGTTTTCCATGGTGGTCTAGCTTCAATTGACTCATGATTTCAATCAGTGAAATTTCTAAAAATCTCCACAAAACCCCTTCTGATATTGTAAGTCTTCCAAATAAACATTAGTTTTATGTTTCGGAGATCCAGAAAATCCCTCAAGAAAAGCTCAAAGGTGCCGTGAAAACTGGAAAACATCTTATCTAATCAGCGATCAATAGAGTATCTAGGACGTAAAGTCATATTTGTGACTGGATGATTGCCAATCCTGCTACTATGTTTAGCAGGATTCCAGAAGCCCAAGGCCATCTGAAATGCTATAAATACCCTAGATTTTCTGTACATAAACTAACCCTGAAGTAAAGCGTTCTTTCCATATTTTCCGTGCTCAAGTAAGGAAAATCATGGACAAGTATAGAATCGAGAATCAAGTTAAAGGGACAGTCAAGATTGAGGTGGACAGGATAAGTTGTTAGCCATATGTGGGGGAATTCTAATACTGCAATTCCATTTGAAGTTTTTGCTGAGGATATTGTTCAGAAAAAACAGTGATATCTCCATGATTAAGCCGTCGAGTTCTGAGAACGAAACTCTAAAATTATCTGTGAGCTATAAATCTGCAACCCCATTTTAAAGATGATATGAGGCTCTGTTGAGCAAAGAGTTTTTCTCAGGGATTTTGAAATTTGCCTTTTCTACTTTACCGCAGCAATTTCTTGTTCAAGTTCAATATTCGTGAAAACTTTTCAACTCTCGATGATCTGTCAGGTTATAGTTTTGGTGTTAAGTTTCTATCGATGAATCAAGGTGAATAATCACATCAGTCGAAGTTAACTATTAGAATTTTTATATGGCTGAATAATAGCTTTTTTTGTCAAAAATAATATGACAGGACTATACCATGACACATGTTCTATTGAACTGAAAATGACTATTCATCGCTCCTCTCCCATGCTAATAAGACAATCTATTAATCAATTATATAGAGATTGCAATTGTTCATTTCTTCTTAAAAATCATGGAATGGATTGTGTTTAGGAAAACAAAATCTTGATAATCAAACCATTTACTACAGAGTTGAAACCTAAACAAATCCCACTTCTTAGCTAAACACCATTTTCTCAAATGTTGGTTTGATAAGGGTAATAAGGCATAATAAAAATTACAGTTAAATATCAAAGTTACTAGAAACGGTAATTCTAACAGTGGAAATTATTACGATATAAGATAGATACAGAGGTGAGAACGTTTTGATGGTTTATTAATTATCTTATCGATCTTCAGCAGTTACATATAGTCAAAATAATTTCCATATCACTCTTGACGTTTTACTATTAGTGGTATATGGCTGTTGGATTATTGTTTCCAGTCACTTCAAAATTCTAAAAATATGTCAGTCAATTATACTAAGCGTAAAACCTGGACCATATTGGCGACGGTTGAAGTTGGTGCACTGCATTATCGCAGCGAGATGGGATCGATAACATAGACCTCAATGTAGTAGAAATCGATATAGCGTCAGTAGTACGAAAGATTGTGGATTTGGAAAGAAGGTACCAAGAGATTCTGGGGCTCAAGATCTAAGAGAATACATAGAATGGATGAATTTAGACCATTTTATCCGATTATGTCCCATATTATCCACCGTCTCCAACGACTTGTTACGGTAAACGTGCAGACCCCGACCAATTGATGTGCACCCACTCAAATTGTTCAATCAACTCGTAAATGACCTCATGGATTGATGTAACGTTTCAGTTTGACCGATTTTATCTTTATAGCAGTCTACTTCTACGCTAGATAATATCTATTGAGGTAGATCTTTCATAAGATTAACATAACCTCATTCAAACAGTTACACGTTCATTGTCTTAATTTAATGCTTACAGAGATTGTATAACTTCGTTTGTGTAACGGAAATAAACATTGTTTATAAATACCTATAATTTCATTATCCGTTTTTAATCTGCCTTTTAAATAAGTGTTATTGAGAGATAGGATCTACATTCATTAGAAACGGGCAAAAGATTAAAATCTCTACTTCAAAATGAAGAAATCTACATTAAATGTTTTGAAAATATCATTATTCCTGTAAATACAAGATCAATAGCTAGTTCAGTTCTTCAATTTCAAATCCAAATTCCTTTAAAAAACTATTTTGCTTCGGTTCTTTAGGAGATCAGTATAATTTTTGTCAGCATTTCTGTTTTCCTCTAATGGTTTTTTCTTGATTGGCTGTAAGATGTTTACGTACGATCGATTTGAAATTCCTGGTATCTCTACAAGTTGTTCGTTAACGGAATTGTGGTCCTAATAGTATTTCAAAGGATTACATTATAATTCAATTAATAAGTTTCAAAAGTTATGAATTTATCTTCTGTTGATTAGTGGATCTCTGTAACATACATGAGGTACTTTTACATATAACCATCTACTTTAACATATTTCTTAACGTCTTTTGCTTCAAATAGCCGGTGTTGGATATTCTTATTGGCAGTTTACCTGGATTTATATCTAAGACTAACGTTCAGTAAGACAATGAAAACTAAACATATGATCTGGATTTGTTTCAACAGTTATTTCCCCAGTGTCAGTAACCGTTTTCAGTTTCGTGTAATTTTGCTTCTATTACATCATAATGTTATCAATTCACAAAACTTCTGTGACAAGTAGTTGTTCCTTTTTTTCTGTAATACAAACTATTGTTGAAACTAAGGATATACCAAAGGAAAAAAGTACAGGATTTGAGTAAATATCATCATTAATATGATAATGTCATATATAAGATAATGTAACTTTAATACTGAAATCTAAAATTTCAAATTTTTAGAAAGCCAAATTATATAGAATTATCTTATGAAAACAAGTTTCAAAAGGACACACCATTCAATTCAAAATACCGCCCACAAGATAATTACTTCTAAATTCAGATAATAGACAATGATTTTTCATCTTTCAATATGATAAATCTTATTTGAGAAGAAAAACAAACAAACAAGTCACCTATTTAGCATTGGAATCTATTCCAAAGATTATTTTCT